TATATATATAATATCGGTATCACGCGGGAGACATTCTCGCGCGACGTGCGCGATTTGCGCTTTATACTTCGTGTAGCTTGGCTTGAAAGACATCAGGTACATTTCGACGTTTCATTCGAACGTCAAACGGCGATTCGTTCGAGTGATACAAAAGAAACGGGGTACGCTCGAGACTAGAATACGATATTACGTGAATGTATGTGTGTGTATATGTGTGGTGCATCTGCCTCTCCATGTACGTGTGTATTTTGCGTATGTCGCGTGTGTCATTTCCCCGCTATTCAGTCGTGTGCACCGATCGCAACGTGAGTATGCGGGGAAACTTGTGTACGCGTATATATGTGTGTGCATATGTGTGTGTGTGTACGTGTATATATATATCGTATATATGTATGTATGTATGTATATATATATATAGTGTCCGTATACACAGCCGTTCCATCCAGCTTTGAGAAGAGCTATCCCTCATTAATCGCGACTTAGACGCGCCTGGAGAGCTTTAAAGCGCCGGCTACAGCGCCGTGCGTTCATCGATCGTCGCCGTCCTCGCTCCAAATTCGCGGGAGAGCTCGCCTCCTCCCAAGCCGGTCGCTAAATAGCGCGCGCGCTGCTGCGCGGAAGTCGCGCACTCGCCTCGTGGCTCACAGGAGCGTAGCGCCGGCTGATGCCCGCGTCCTCGTAAGACGCAACGACGACGCGAAGGGCAACGCCTCGTTCCTTTTCCTCGAGAGCACCGAGATCGATCCGGTGAGAAAAGGACGCGTCTCGACGGCTCTTGAGAGCGAGAAAGCTCTTCGTCGAACGCTACGCTCCAGCCGCGCAGGGATCGCCCCCTGCGGACGATCCGCCCGATCTGCAGCGCGAGTCCCCGCTTCTACCTTCAGACTCGAGAGCGGACGTCTTCCTCGGAACGGGAGCGGCAGCCGTCTCGCCTTCACGAGAGCGTGAAGATGCTGGTGATGGCGGCGCGATCGCGCTCCTTCACTTCGGCGGTGTCGTTGGCGCTTCTACGACGCTCGTCCGTGACGAAGAGCAGCGGCTGCGGCGGGCTGTCGTCGTCGGGCAGGCCGATGTCGGTGCGGCAGGCAAAAGCGACGCTGTTCGCCCTGCGCCGAGGCTTGATCTTCATAGACGTCGACGATCCGCTTTTCGGCTGCTGTTCCTTCTGCTGCTTCTGCTGTTTCTTCTGCTTCTGCTGCTGCGTCAGGCCGCTGCTCCTCCTCCGGCTTCTTCTCCTGATCAACCTCAAGCCGGATGGAACGGCTTGCTCTCAGTCGACTCGATGCCTCGTCTCCGTCGCGATCGCCGTCGTGTCGACGCTGGAGCCCCGCTCGCTAGCGGTCGAGTCGCCCGGTCATAAGGGCGCGAGCGTCTTGCCGCGACGCGCCAGACGGCTCTCCAGCCAGACGTACGGCACCACCGCCAGCACCAGGGTCACGGCGAGGCCCATTACGCGGTATCGGGTGCAGACGAGACCACGCATACCGAGAGCGAGGGCCAGCCCGAGCCAGCGCCAAAACAGCGACGTCGACAGCGGCCCCTGCCACGCGTTCGGGTACAGGGCCATCACCAGCGCTGAAACAGCAGGAGGGGCTGTGGCAATCTCGTTCTCCAAGAGAGCGTCTCTTCGTAATTTCATAATTTGATCTTACACCGAAAGGAAGGTTTGATCGAATTTACCTGACCTGATAAAACGAACCAAACGTGTCTTGGAAAGAGAGAATTTCTGGCTGTGAGAACCGGATTTGTTTCATAAGAACCACACACGGGGAAAAAATTAGTATCGATTCAAGACATAATTTTCGTCTACAAGCAAGAATACATAATCTTATGTGAAGAGGAAACTTGCTTACATAAAGAAATTCTATGTAGTCTAGCTAAAAATATATTTTTGTTATTCAATAATTTTCATGAATTGAGAGGAAAAAATATCGGATAGGAAGAGTGATATTTTCAAACTAAGAATATCAGTTTGAAGATATCGTTCTGTCTATATATATATCCAATAATTTTTCCTCAATTCATGAAAATAACTTTTGAATAACAAGAATATATATCTTTAGTGGAACTACATAAAATTTCTTCATGTGTGTGTAAGCAAGTTTTACTTTCACGTAAGATCATATATTCTTACTTATATGTGAAAACATGAGTCTTGAATTGATACTAATTTTTTTCCGTGGAGAAATTCTGTTTCTTGCGACGAAAACGCGTTTGATTTGTTCGTCATCGGATAAATTCAATCAAACTTTTTTTTCCGTTTGGAGCAACGATCTCGCGAGATTGCCGTTCGAAGATTTCACCTGAGACTCTTTGAATCTTATCCCGAAATCTCATTTGAGAATTGACTTCTTCTTTAAGTCACGGAGAAAAAAGATTGGTCGAATTAACAATGGATGAGCCAAACGCGTTATGTTTAAAAGGAGGAAAGATTTTCTAGGTTTTAGAAACCGAATCCGGTTCGTGAGAATCATAAATTCAGATCCCTTCGATCAAAACACACTTGGTACGTTCGTCGTCACGTTAACTCAAACTTTTTTCACCGTGCAGCGAATACTTTTGTCAAATTTGTCGGTAACACTTCGCTACATATATTATTGTTTTTACGCTGTTTTTATACAGCTGTTTTTCTTTTGTTCCCTATTTATCGCGATGTCAAGCAAAACACGAGACACTTACTGTATATCAGAGTCTCCCAGATGGAGTTACAGACTCCCCAGGCAGCTGATATGACGTGAAAGAGCGCCGGGTCGTCTCCCGTTGGTCTCCAGGTGAGTAAGACTAGCAAGAGACAGGCGTGGAAGGCACAGCCCACGACTGAAACGGAGAACGGTCTCAGTCGTGATCGACGGGTGACAGATTAAAAGGGTCGGACCAACGTCATCATTATATTTTATATGCCCGAGTTGACTCGATCTTTCTTGTTGTACACTGAACATTCATGCATTGAGAAAAAAGTGGTAGAATCAACGAAATTTTGCTTAAACGGACAACATTTTTTTATCATTTTTTTCACGACATTTAGTCCATTGAACAAATTATATAGTTTCTTTAATGAGCAGTACCGTCATTTAGTTAAAAAAAAGTGGTAAAAATAGTGAAAGAAACAGGCAAAAAGGGTAACGAAAATGAATCGCTCAGACATCAAAGTACTGACCAAAACATGACATTTTTTCTCTAATTTTGAAAGTAACTAAGGTCATTTAAGCAAAAAAGATAACATTTACTCTTATCTTACCAGGTTTATCTTTGGACAATTTAACATATAGCGAGTTCTTTTCATAGTATCGTTTGAAAGTTCATAACAAAGAAAGATCAAGGGCATGAACGGCATAAGTACGCTTTCGGAGCAGTTTTATTAAAAGATAACGGCAAAAAAATATATATATATAATATATATATACAATAAAAAAAATATATATAGAACGCTCATATTTTACAAATTTAATGGTATTTGAAGATTAAAAGTGACTACAGTGATCCACTTTGGATGACAGTGAAATTTTTAGTGACTCGTTAAGGAAAAGCGACAAAAAGTGACTTGGATAACCGGATGGCAGCGTTGATAATGAGTTTATCAGTCGATTCAACGATTGCGATTTGCAACTGTATCAACGCAAAATATTATTGCGCCGACGCGTAAGTTGCTCGATAGATACAATATTTTTTTAATCAAGACCGACCGTCGATTTTGTCGATCTAACCTTTTTTTTCTATTTCTCAGCGTACGTTCCTTTCGCCGCGGCCTTCGCAAACATCGAGAGATTATCCCCGCGAAATTACACCTGGATCCTCGTGTTGATCCGACCCTCGGATGGAATTTGACGCGTCAAGGATCACTTACCCACGACAAAGTACCTTTTAATGTGCCTCAACAGCATCGAGAGCGTCACGGCGGCGAGAGCCTGCAGCACGGCCAAGCTCAGGAAGCTTAAGGTCACCGTGCCGACGCCGACCAGGGCGCACACCACGTACGCCTGTCGACGGACGGGCATGTTAATTATAGCCGTGTAATTTTCGCGAAATACGCAGCGCTAATTATAGCCGGTTTAAGGAAATTAAGCGCGGAACCGCTCTCGCGTGTATATTGCCGTGCCAAAATGTTTGCGCTCGAGATGGGGCGCGTCAACGTGTCACGGCGGACGAGCGCGCGCGGGCTCTCTCGTCAATGTTTCGTTGGAAGGAAATGGAAAATTTCTCGACCCGCCGATTCCGAAAATACGGAGAATGTTGCGTCTTCTCGCCGAGATATTCGCCCCTTCAGCTTTAAAATTATCGCCGAGCTACGCGTATCGGTTAAGATCGGGGAAGATCGCGCGATTCGTATCGAGAGGAAGATATATGGTTAATTAATCTCGCGAAAATTATAATTAATTTGTTCTTTAAAACTCGAACTATCACAACAATGATGGTTCCAGCGACATAAAAAAAAAACATAAGAAAAATATTAATTTTACGATTTTTCTCTAAGATTTTAAAGTGACTTTCAGAAGAAAATAGCACGTACAAAAACGTTTCCAAATAAAAAATTTCTTGTCTCTTAAAGGGATATAATCTCACGAGAATAACATATTTTTCTGACGTTCTAATAAAAAAGTGGCAATATGCGTACGAGATTATTATGGGTAACACATTATAGTAGAGCTTGCTAGAAAAATGATTTTTCTAGCTGAGTAGTAAAAAATATCTTGTACTTGTGTTAAAATCGGTCCTTGTCAAATTTTCAATATAGTCGTGTGTTAATTTAACATATCGTGTTTATGTTATTTCAACATTTTGTATTATGTCGATATTCAACATAATGTTAAAATAACACATTTTACACTTTAATATCGATTAACGTATTAATTTCATATTTGACATCAATGATGAGAGAGAAAGTGTTTGCTTTATTTACCTCCACGAAATCGGCGTAGATGAAGCCCTGCTCGAGCCCGATGAAGATCGTGAGCGGCGCCGCGAGCTGGAGCTTGGGGTCCTGAAAAGCGCACTTGACGGACTTCAGAATACCGCGGGCGGTGGTGCGATCGTGGCTCGTCTGCGGCTCCTGCATCCTGGAGTCGAGGAACGCGCAGGATATGCTCAGACCGAGCACCGCCAGGCCGAGCCAGATGCTGACCAGCACCTTCGACGTGCCCGACGTGACCGTCGGCACATAGAGCGATTCGTTGTAGAAGTACGTCTCCTCCGAGCAGTACTCGGCCCCGCAGATGTCCCCGACGTCGCTGTTCACGATGATAGGCGGTACTACATCCGTCAGTCTGACGAGAATCGCGGCGATGACGCAACCTGAAACACAGACGATAGCGTTAACGTGGGTGCGAGATTATTTATGCAAATTAATTAATAACCGTTAATTATTCATTGAAGGAATAAGAAGAAATTCAATCGACACCGATCAATGCGTCCACAGCTGGTAACGTAAAACAATTTTTCCAAATGTATAAAATTCAGGCAGTATGCGAGATTGTGATTTTGATAACATTTCATTGAGCGATAAAATTCACTGAAGTAGTGTAGTATAAAATGAGTTTTTTTTAATTACTTGAAATTAAGTATAGATTTAAATATAATCTTATTATTAATTATTGGTGCAATTAGAAAACGATTGATCATTCGGAAGCTGATATATTTGCAACTTAAGATGATACTTTTTATACGTATTCCATGAGGTTAATGCCCTATTTTTAACTTCTATTTTTAATTTCGTCTAAATCACATTTAGGATTTTAATGGAAAACTACTGTGATATTAAGGACTAGTACAGAGATGTACAAGAATTTTAGAATTATTGAACATTTTGTTTTGAAAATATAGCCCTAGGAAATTTATAATTTATAATAATAATATACATGTAGATAATATACATGTAGATACATATATATTTAAATATTTACTTATCGATTTCTATTTTGTGTGCACCTGTATTAGCTCAACTGACGTATAAATAAAGCATTAATAAGAAAAATAAATAATATCCCGTATATGTAATATTATAATATATATATATATTTTTTTTTTCTTAATTTCACAAAATTAACACTTATTACTTAGATAGTTAAATGAAATTATAGGAAAATATTTTTTCAGTAAATTAGAAACTTATATAGCGCCTCCTTAATATCATCACTGAAAACGCGGTACTTTACAATACAACTACTTTAAATACAAAATTAGGTCACTCCCTTTCCAAGGGAGAGAAAAATATTGAATTTGTAAGAAATTTATAAGAATTTATTAAGAAACGATACGAAGTATTGGACTTATAAAAACTGTTGAAAATTGACTTTAAGATTCTCCGACGAAAATATCCGGCCGACGAGTTTCGTAACTTTACGGGCTCGCGCAGGTGGTGGTGGCGATGTAGTACCGAATGCGAGGCCGATGTCCTCGGCCAGCTTGATTCCCCGGTTGAGCCGCCTCAGCAGGCACTCGCGTCGCGTCTCGTCAGGATCCTCGGGATCGACGCAGACCAGCGCCAGGCTGGTCGCCGAGACGTTGACGTGTGACGTCCTCGCCAGGAAGCTCGGGGTGGCGCAGGCACCCAGCATCGCGTAGCTGGGCAGGAGTATGTACCTGGTGATGCGGAAGAGCGCGCATGTTACTTTCGTGACGGCTCGCTTTGTGATAACACCTATTTTCGTACCGTCAGGCAGAGGAAGATAGAGAGACAGAGAGAAAGGGAGAAAGAGAGACGCGCGCGCGCGCGTCTTCGCTTGTCGCTTTCGCCGGCCTTTTTTTTATGAGCCAATAAATAAACGCCTCACCTCGAGGAGAGAGACTTTTCTGGCGCGAAACTAGGATAAAGCGGCGATATTAAACGATGGAGGACGTAAAGGGAAAAGTCTCACTTTCGCGAGACTCCCGGCTAGTCGCGGAAGCACACGGAGATGATCCGCGACATGGCGCAACGGAATATCGCGACATACGAAATCGAATCAAAGTGCATGTTATTCCAACTGAATTGGAATCGTCCGAATTCGACCGTAAAAGCCGACCTAAGCTAACTGGCCAACCGAAGCTACTCGCTGAATTTGTTGGAGTGTAGTTTCATTGAAAATGAACGAGAATTCACTCGATCGTGAAAATGAGTGGTTTCCAAAGTGGTTCGTTCGTTTGACGTACAGGGTAGCCCACTTAACTCTTAACAACTCGGTATCTCGGAAACTATTTGATCGATTTTAAAGATTTAGGTCTTGAATCGTATGGACCTGAAGGGCCTTCAAACTGGAATGGAAGTGTTAAGAGATATATGGGCCATCCTGTACTTTATATTGAATCGTACGACGTATGGTAGGTTTAATTGTGTGAATAGAATTTGCGTATTGGCGAACAGCTACTCTCGATCTATCAACTTTTTCAATAACTCGTTGAATTATTTCAAATATAGCTCGATCCGTATTCTCCCTCATCAGGTTGAGAATGTCAGAAAAAGGAGAAGAAAACATTTCTTCTTTTTTATATGTGTACTCAACCCGAGAGATTTATATAATGAAACTAATCCTAAAACTAATCCTTCGTGATTTTCTCCGTCCTTAAATCTGTACACCAAAGAGTCTTATTCCCGTCAATTGAATAAATAAATAATTAAGTCAATCAATAAAATACCGCTCCGAATCGCACGAGTGAATGATTAACTCAAACTCAGAGTGAATTCTCAGTCGAGTACGAGTGAATATTTCTATTGACCGGAGTGAGCTTATTCCGAATGACGGTGTACGTCGAATTCACTCTCCGATTCGAGTGCAAAAATTCACTCGACCAATTCGATTGACTTGTTTATTCCGCTTTTCAAGTGGAATTTCGCACGGAGGAATAAACGAGAAAACATGAGAGTTGAATCAAGCCGATCTCTACGTGAATTCGAGTCTCGAGCGGAGGGGAGCACAGGGGGGAGGGGCAGTACCACTTGGGATACAGGTGCACGCCGACGAAGATGGTGGTGACCAAGTGGCTGACGATGACGGTAAGGTTCGTGCCGAGCTTCTGCACGACGATGGGCGCGAAGCAGCTGGTGACGGCGGCGATCGCGTAGAGGAGGGCGAGCAAGGCCGGGCCCATGTGAGGTTCGAACGCGCCCAGACCCGCTTGCAACGGAAAGATCGGCAGCATCGCGGCCGAGCAGGTCGCGTGTCCCAGCAGGAGAGCCACGCAGTGACGGAGAATCGCCCTGCGAGGCGGCCGCGGCCCGGACGGCGCCGCTCTGACCGCCGCGATCAAACGGCGCACCGACGACGCGCCCGCCGACGAGTTCATGGAGTCGCGACGTCGCCAGGACAACGCCGAGATGCGCGTCGACCGGCAGGAGATCGGCGAGTACGCCGCCATGTGCTGCGAACAGAAGGATACAGAGAGAGAGAGAGAGAGAACCGACCTGGCGATTTTGTCAGCTCCCATGCTCGGAGAAATGACTTTGGTAATAGCAGCTAAATCTTATTAGTCAGTTCGAACTTGTCTGTCAACAAGTTGGCTGTTAGAGATCAAATGCATCTGTGCTACGAGGTACGACTTAATTGCTTGAGATTGGCACGAATAGCTAAGATTCGCTAGCTGTGCTGATTATTATTATATATAGACGATGTATATGTAAATACGAAATTCGTTTATATCAATCGACGAAGCGATTCTAAGGTTGATTCGCGACCCAGAGGTCTCTGGTTGATTCCATCAATGCTTAAGCGCGTTCTTCAAATACGATATTAAATATGTGGATAAATTTCAGAAAAATCAGCGTACACTAAAACCTTAAGGACAGCTTTTATTAAAAAGATAATAAAAAACAAATTTCTAGCCGGGAATACGAATATAATTTTAGTACGATCTAACTAATACTTTTTACTGCAGCGCTTGAATTCGAACAGCTAGTTGCGGTAACAATAACATTACAGCTGTCAGAGCTATCATTACAGCTATTTGCATCTCAACTGCCACATTATAGCTGCCACATTGTGACTGCCACAGTTATTTTTTCCGACAGTTAATTCTTTCTCAGAGTACGCGGCGAACGCGACGCACAATTGACTCCACACGTTTGAAAACGCCGAATAGCACTAATCGCTGCACAAATGAAAATTAGCAGCGCGTTCGCGGAACATTATGTAATTGCATGATTAGTAGTAATCGGAGGAGACATATTGCTCCAACAAATCGCGACTATATGAGTAATACGAGTCTCTCCGGTATTTCCTGTGATATTCTCGCAGCAACCGTGAGAGATGAGCTCACAACTACGGACACGTGTCCAGACTAAGTTGCAGGATGTCGAGCGCTTCGACGAACGCCGCGAGAGAAACGCGAAGTTTGCGGGTCGGTTGTGTACTGCTATGTTTTTAAGACAAATACAAAATGTTTTTTACTGTATACGAGAGTTTTACTGTATGAGAAAAGTCGACGAGAATACACAATCGACCCTTGAAATCATCTCGATCTCGACCGGGTCGCAGTATGTGACGCGTAATGAGTAAAGCGATTATAAACTTATGCAGCGCGTCCCGCGCGATTGGTTGATTGATCTTATCACTGCGATTCGTTCGCGAGTTTTTCGGCGGATTAAGTTTTAACGTCATTTTATCAAGATATTGCGTTGATGCAAAAACTCGTTTCGTTTCTCAATAAAAATATACATCAAACATTTATTTATTTTACAATACAATCAATCAGTTGTAAGTATATATATTTTCTTCGATGACTTGCCATTGTCAGAAATCCCAGAGTCCCTGAGCAAAAAAAACCGACTAAAAAGCGGAACAAATTTTTGCATCAACCCAACAGAACAGCGTCGGCACGCTGAGAGAAAAAAGGGGTTAATTCCGTTAAAATTTATTCTCGGCGTCGGCCATATTTCCTCGTTATTTTCACGAAACAGCAACGGTAGAATTATTATTATTAACACACACTACAGTGACGCATACTACAAAATTAATTCTCCTCATTGCATAATCGTTTCATTTCTCTCTTCAATTTTATAGTTAGAATTTTATAGTTAGAAACACAGGATATTTTTTTCTCAGCGCATGCCTTACATTATTCAATAACATCGGAGATCGTTATCGTTAGATCGTAATTCCTCGCGATCCAATGTATTACCTCCATCATTGTGTCATTGTCGCACAAGGTAGAGTGATGGTGTCCACCGCTCCTGGCGCGTCTGTGAGTGTGCGCCAACGGCGGAGGCTGCGGTGGCAACCGCATCGGGCCGAGACCGCCGATCGGCGCCGGTCTGTACACCGGGCTCTCCAGCTTGTCCTTGGACAGCTCGTGCAGATTCGGCAAGGACCCCATTATCGTTTCAACCGGGGGGCCCGTCGCGTCGGGGTCGTCGCGATCGTTCGCGTTATACCCGTGTAGCGCCTTCCTTTCTCACGCGCGTTCAGCCACCTCGCCCGATCTCATTTATTACGATTTCATCCCTCGCCGACCGAGTAGCCGCCCTGGTCGCGATCTCCTCATCTGCGGCTCGGACACCTGGCAAAGATCCGACGGCCAATTATTTATCACCTAACTTACATATATCGAGAGGAAAAAACAGTTAAAATCGGCGGTCATTCGCTGTCGTTCAAAAAAATATTGCGCCCATTCGACGAATTAATGCGTTGGCGCATTAATTAACGATACGTTGCGTCGATACGGTTGCTGGATCAAATCGCAGTCGTTGAATCGACTGACAACTCGTTACAACAACTATAACTTGTTCAGTGGACTAAGCGTTGTGCTTGAACAAATATCGCTCGTTCAAGCAAAATGTCGTTGATTCTACTATTTCTTTTTTTCAGTATAGTTTCCTCTAATATTTCGTTGAATATTTTTCTTTAATATTCTCTGTAACATTTCGCTAAAATAATAAAATTGAATCTAATTAAATAAGGCGGTCGCGCGCTATTCGCAAGCTCGGCGAACTTTAAATCTGCCACCGTTATTCTCATTCTACAGCGGCTCGAAAAATGTAACTTACATCATTTTCTTTAATGGTATTCTCCGGAAATTTAAAAGTGGAATCCAATTAAATCTGGCTGTCTCGTGATATTCTGCAAATCTCGAGTTCACCGAGTTCGCTGTTTTATACTGTATGAAATCTCCAGGAACTTTAAAGGGCTGAGCGGAGGAAGAGAAGATCTTCATAAAGTCAGCAATGTGGTCAGCAGAAAAATTCAAACTTTGGGTGTTTCTTCGAGCCGTTCGGGTGTATGTAGTCCCTTAAAGCGTAATCACTACATGCTGGGATTGAAATTAGGTTGAAATTTGACTAATCAGAGCAAAGTTCATTAAACTTGAGTTACACAATATTATAAATATATAAATATTATTTTTTATATTTCTTATTAATGCTATATTTATGCATCAATTAATCTAATAGAGACGCACAAATAATAAAAAAGAGACATATGTGTTTAAATAAGTGCATATGTATGTGTAATTATGAACATTACACCGCTATATTTTCAAAACGAAATGATCAATAATTTCGAAACTATACATATAAAATTTATATATATAAAATTCTACATATCAGTCTTCAATATCATAGTAGTTTTTCACCAAAGTTTTATTTTCAATTTAGAAAATATAAAAAATAGAAATAAAAAATAGCGTGCTAATCTCCAGAAACAGGTGTAAAAAGTATCAAATTTAGTCGCAAATATTCAAGCTCTCGAATGGTCAATCTTTTTCCAATTGTACGAAGAGTTAAATAATATTTCATTGTATACGTAGTGTAAGTTTTTCATCGAATTCTGAACAAACTTCACAACCTCCTTAAGAGATACTCGGGTAAATTTCAGATACGGCCGGAAGCCTCGAAGGTAAAGAGAACGATTATCGATCTATTCGCGGATCGTGCTTGAATTCAAGCGTCGTGATAGAGAATCGCGCGCGATCCAAGGAGACGGCGGTGGTTCCGCGGAACAACCCGTACAACCCACCTTGCATAATTCAATCGACGATTCTCGGCACTCGGCATCAATTACCGAGAGGCGCAAAAAAAAAGAGAAAGAAACGGCGCACGGCTGCGGAAAAATTCTAATGGTCACCCGCGCAGCCTTGAACGAGAACTTGTGGTGGACTAGCGGCACAGCCATTGAAGTATAAATAAATTGAACGCGCACCGTGTTCAACAACGCGGCCTTGGGATCCCGACGAACGAACGGGAGTTGCGATTCTGTTTGATCGCGAAGTGATCAGCGACGAGTCGCGCGAATCGCGATCGCGACTCGGTAACCGGAAATGCAGACGAATGCAAATACGCCAGAATGTGCGAACCGAGGAATGCGCGTTACGCCACACCCATCGATGACCGCGATTTTAATTGGTCGATTTTAATTGGCCGATGTCGGAAGAAGATGACTGAGAGGGAAAAAGGCGCAAAAAAAGCAGAAAAAAGACCACAGCGCCAGCCAGCGCGATCGTTATCTGCTTACGCAACGCGAGTTTATAATCCCGAACACCTGCTTCGTCGCGGTGTGTCCTCCCCCTCCCTTTTCCCGTGAGGTGTGTACCGGTCCCCTGTTATCGAATTATCCGATCGGAGACGAGGAACTGTTAAAGTCACATTTATCTTGCGCTCCGACGTGTCCCTGACACGAAGCCACGAGAGATAACGCCAGGTCGCGAGAACCGACGCGCTCGGAGCCGGCGATCGGGAAACTTTCGTGTTTCGGATAAGAAGGCGGTCCTGAATTCGTGATGATCTTCCAAAAGTCTATCAGTTTCTATTTGGGACACGGCTCCTTGCACACAGAGAAAAAGGTTTCTTTGGATTCACATTGAGGGAAATACTTAGAAATGTATTCACGTCATTTCTGTCAAATAAACCTCATGTCCCGCAAATAAATTTTTAAGTATTTCCTCAGTACGGAATATGTTTGATTCTTAGGTTTGTTTAATATCAACAACGTATTTAAATGAAAAATGTTTTACTAGAATGAACCACGTTGCTTGATGGAAAAAAAGACAGTATTATTTAGGGGAAATAATATTTTGGCACAAAGGAGTTCTTTAATATTTTTATAACATAATGTTATTTTATTTAAATAATTTATTGCTTGCGACAATCATTGTAATGTTTGGACTGAAAATACAAAAAAAATATGACGTAAAGATATTCATCGTTTGAGGGACCAAACAATCCTGTTTGTTGAATCAAATATTCGTTTATTCGCTCCATTCTAAAAAACAAATTTGTTTCGATTAAAAGAATTTTACTAAATCCAAAGAGATTTTCTCTGTATGCATTGAAAAATAAGTTTAGTTGGATCTACCTGACAGTGGATAGCCAAACGCGTTTTCGTCGAAGGAAACTGAATTCTCTGATTATAAGAAGCAAATTTTGTTCGTAACAACTAGGAATTTTATTTCCTTCGATCGAAATATGTTTAGTTGTCCGTTGTCAGGTAGATCCAATCAAATTCATTTTTTCAATATTCCACAGGTTGGATTGTTGCGAAATGAGACGAGAAGGTTATTTTTGTCCGCTTCGCGTTCTCCGGTACTCTCAGTTCTCTCGAAATTTCTAGATTAAATCTCCCTCGCGAAATGAATGAAAATTCACTCGATAGTGAAAGTACCGGCGGTCGGGAACACCGGAGTGAATGACTGATTCAAACTCGGAGTGGGCGCTTAATACGTACAAGTGAATGTTCCAATCGATTAGAGTGAATTTGTTCCCGTGAGACGCGATAGAGTACACCGGCCGGCTTAATAGCTCTATCATTTATTAGGTCAAAGGTCATCAAAATTTTCTTATGTACATATCGTACATCACATATAAAAAAGGAAATAATATGTGCACATATATGAGCGAAAAGTCACTCGAATTCGAGTGACCCGACTCTGCTAAAAGAAAAGTCGCTCTGCTTTTCAAGTGAAGTTCCACTCGAGAAGATTTAAAGCCTATTTTCGCGGCCGACGAAGAGATCCGTCTAGGAGTCCGTTAAAATTGTCCTCGAGACGCGTTCGATTCCACCTGTACCCCAAAGAGCCAGAAGGACTCCTCGAACTTATACGAGGTAAACACTCGAGAAAGAGAGAGAAATAGTGAGAGAGAGAGGAGAAGAGAATGAGAGAACTCATACGAGTGTTCTCAGGAAACAAAGAGTTCGTATATATATTCATCGAGTTCGTCGAAGAGTTACGCGCGAAACTTCGGGAAGAGAACGGAAGTTTCGAACGCGAGGGTTCGACGCGGTTACGAGGAATTGATGCGGAAGAAGTTATAGAGAGGAAGAACGGGAGACCGTCACCGCAACCTTCTTCTTTGGCATGAGGATCAACTTCTAGGCCGTACAATGCGAAAACAACGCTTCTTGTGTTTCTTCCTCTCCTTTTCATCTATTCTTTATTCATCGATGCTCTACGGCACGTTTTTGCCGACTGCCAATCGTAACTCTTGCTCGATTTTATCGGGCTCTCTTTCGTAACGTCACGACGCACGTGTCACGTGCGCACACCTCACGATTCGACGACGGGAGCTGACGTGTGGAAATGTATCGAAACCGAAGTTACGTGGGAGCGGTGCCGAAGGTGAACCGGTTTTAGCGGCACGCGAAACTGTAGCCGGCGATGTGTGACTAACGAACCCCGCGCAGAATCTCGCACGTGGGGTACTATGGGGATCGAAAAGAAGGAACGGTAGATGGCGAAGACCAGAATTGAGAGACGGAATTTTAAAGCCCAGTGAAAAATACAACGCGGCGAAAGGAACGATCGCTGGTACTATCGGTAGCAAAACGTGAAATAAAGATAATCGAATCCTAATCACACACACATATATATATATATATATATATGTATATTATTAATTAATGATAAAAATTAGCAAAATTTATGTTAGGCGAAATGAAGAAATTATTTATTTACTCACTAAATAAGTACCAAATAAACGAAGCATTTATGAGACAAAAAATTCGTAATCGCAGTTCCCACTATGCACAGAGAAAGATTTCTTTAGATTGAATAAAATTTGTTTAATTGAAACAAATACCTTTTGAAATAGAGCAAACAAACGAATGTTTCATTCAACAAGTAGAATCGTTTGGCCTCTCGGACAATAAATATCTACGTCGAATAATATATCTCTCTTGTATTTTCATCTAAATATATATTACAATGATTATTACAAACAATAAATTATTTGAGAGAAGTAACAATAAGAAGGAACAATATATAATAAAATAAAATTCTTTTTATCAAAAATGCAAAATGTTATTTCCTCTAAATAATACTATTTTTTCTATCAAACAACATGGTTAACTCTGATAAAACATAATATTTATACATTAATACATATTACATTAATACATTAATTTATACATTAATATTTTCACTAAAAAACAATGATATTTGACATTAAATTATTGTTATTTATATTAAGCAAAGCCAAGTCAAATAGACACGTACGTTAAAGAAACTTCTTTCTGTGTATACTGCAGGGTGATGCAATGACTATTACCATCTCGAAGATATCTCCGAAAGACAAAAATATTTTTTTTGACGACCAGATGGAGAGATGAAACAAGCTTACACTTTCAGGAAGCGTTCGGAATGATGATCGTCGCTGTGTCAATTACTCTCATATTTCGTAGACATTCAAGAGGTGATGTAAGAGGTGTTGTAAGAAATGATGTAACAGTTGTTCTGTCTCACTCTGTATAAAAATAACCGAAATTTACGTCAAGTGAGATGAAAAAACGACGAAAGAGAAGGAAAAAACTGAACTCCTGATCGAAGTTCCGACTATGTGATCAATATAGCTGTATGCACGCGCATCTCCTCGGAGCCCCGACGAGCCCGCGGAAGTGCGCGCTGCAGAGTTGTTGCATTCTGTATGCGGGGGGGGGGGGCACCGCACGGATGCTGGATGCATCCTCGCGCCGTTGTAACGAGCGTCACAGGGGAAAACGCGGCCGATGCGACGGTGCTGAATCGATATTTCGTTTTTCAGCACTGTCCGCGCTCCCGACCTTGGCTATTATTCTCGTGTCGGCCCACGTAATGTAAAGCCGCCGATAATTACGACGACGAGTTTGCCACCGCTACACTCGACTAATGCGCAACAATAATTGACAATGAGAAAAAATGCTGCAAACTCGTTATCTAACAGGCTGCCGATGATTAGCGGCAAATGGATGATACAATCGTTTCTCCATCACAAATTTAAAATGGAAGAAAAAGAGAGAGAGAGAGAGTGGGNNNGGGGGGGGGGATCACTCGGTTAGAATTAACTTCAACAGACTCCGTACTCCGAATGATTTTAATTTCCGACCCTCGAGTCGCGCTCGATTCCGAGAATCGAGAAGTTTCCGCTTCCGCGGCGTTGTGTCCCGCCGAGAGATCAATTATTAATTATTCTTATCCGCGCTGTATCGATCGGAATATAATTATTTCAACTCGACGGGCTACTCGATCGAGGAGAACGGAAGCACCGCACGCGCAAAACGCCCGAGAAATCTTTTTTTTTCTCTCTCCTCTCCGCCACGGTGCGTTACGCGCGCAACGGTCCGTTCGCGTCCGTTCGCTGAGCGAGTCGCCAAGACAACGGGCGAGTGACGAAGTACTTTTGTGCAGATCGTACGTCCGGACTAGAGATGGAAACGTGCATTCTCCTCGAGCGGAAGGAGCATAAATCACAATGACGCGAAAAGGGGAGGGGGGGGGGGGGAAAAANGGGGAGAAAAACGAATGCGAGAATCAATCGTCGAGGTGGCAAAGGATCGCCAAGGGGCAGCGGAGGCTTACGTTTCCGTGACGCCGCTGCGGCAGCGATCCAGCAGGTTCTCCATGGTTCCCGGTGACGTGGTGGAGTCGCCAAAACACTCGGCAAGCGCGGTCGTCGGGTCACGGGGCATGACCGCCGCACGGGAGGAACGCCGTCGCTCTCATTCCGCGCGATTAATCACGAGCCTCGTCGCTCTTCGTACCCAAGCGGACGTCGTCAACGGGGCCACATTGCGCTGTCCTAGCGTTGTCGAAGAGGCGAGAAACCGCATCCAACGGCGCGTCAACGAGTCGACGAGCGTCTTCGCGATGCCATTCGCGCGTCGAGCTTCGCGGAAGCTTCGCGGGAGCGAAAGCTTCGTCGATTCGTACGAAGTTGAGAAAAACGTGACCCGCACTCGCGAGACCGACGCGGGAAAACGCTGTCGTAGGAAAACGACGCTCGTCAGCGCGCTCGAGAGCACAGCTAGGAGAGACGGTCGGAATATCGCGGGCAAGCAGTCGTCAAGCTTGAAAATTAAGCCCGATCTCGATACTTATTGGTAGTTATTAGACGCGCGGCTGGTAACTGGTGGGCGAGACGAGTGCGGGACGAGAATTAACGCGCGAGTCGCGTCGAGTTAATCAAGACGCGGCCGTCACGGCACACTCCGAGTGCCATCAATAATCGGGATGACGAGGGTGTCGATACACGACGGCGAGTCGCGAAGGACACGCGTCCCGACGGCGCGGATTGATTCTCCCAGAGACGGGCCGTTCCGTCGCACGTGTCACGTTCACCGGGTTTAATTAATGTCCTCCTAATCTTATTGAGGAGAGAAAGAGAGAAAGAGGGAGAGATAGTAGGAGAGAGAAAGGAACGGAAAGCGTGAGAGAGAGAGAGAGAGAGAGAGAAAGTCAGGAGATCCTGGTATCCTGTCGTGAGATGTAAACACAGCGACGGTCTCTGATCCTCCGTCGCGAAAGAGTGCCGAGCCAGCGCGACGCGACGATCGTCTCCTCGCGTATTTCCCGCTTTCCTCCGCGCTTCGGGAGCGGAGGGGACCTCGCGCGGTCGCTCGCGAGAGAAGTGAATCGCGCGACGCACGGTCTGCGGAATCCCCGATCCGGCGGCTCGCTCGACAGGACGGGATCCAGGTCCTGGGCCGACGAAGGGACGACTCCGGAGCGACTCGCTTCTCCGACCGCGATTCGGCGCCGCTCGGTTCTGCTCGAGCCAGCTCGGCTCTCTCGCCTCCTCTCCCGATGGTCGATAACAGCGCGAGTGCGTACTGAACGCGCGCTCTTCCAGTTCCCTCCGGAGCTCTTCGAAGCCCTCTTTCTCGCCCTCTCTCACCCTCCCTCCCTCCTTCTCTCTCTCTCTCTTTATCGCTCCACCGCCGAGTGCGACGGTACCGCACGCGAAAAATCCTGCCGCGCGAACACCCCTAATCGGCCAATTATCGAGAACTCCCGGGGCGATTGATCGTCCTGAGATCAGTCGGGCGCGATTTCACGGGCTCTGAGCTGATCAGAGGCCGACAAAACGGCACGATCGGCGCATGCGTATCGCCCTCCGCGTGCACTTCCTCTCTCTCTCTCTCTCTCTCTCTCTCTCTGTCCTCTAATATACGCAATCGTCGATTATATTTAGTTACGTCTGCAAATGCTGCAGGCTGTGGGGGATCGCGAGATTGATTCAAGCGCGAGTTCGTGCGAGCGGGTGACCAACAGTAATAAGAGAATAAAAAGTAATAAGGGAATGAAAAAGAAGAGGAAAATTCCTACAGGCACTCGTGAGCGCATTAAAGGAGCACACATGGAACGCGCGCGCGTTCGTTCCATTTGCGAGATGAAGCGGTGAATTCGGATTAATTGGCGTCCGAGTCTCCCGTCGCTCGTTAAAAATCGGGTCGGGGTCGCGCGGACGACGGTATTAGATCCATAATCAGTACTTCTGAGCCATTAATGATCCGCGTGCTTTCGCGGGTACGAAGGCTCCGTCGTCGTCGCCGCGGGAATCCGACAGCGACCTTCCGCGGATGCACGCGCCATGCGCGCGCGCGCGCTTCCCCGCGTCTCGCGATTCTCGCGCGAGCTGGTCGTCGACGGTAACGACGATTGTTACACCTGTCACGCGTGGCTGACGTCCGATAGCCGGAGAATCGCGCGTGCACCGCGCGCTGAAGGCGATAACGATATCGACGGAACGTAGAATTAATTAAATACGGCGAGAGAGACGCGGCGGAAATCGCGCGAGCGCGCTCTGTTAGTCCCGTGGGAACAAATGGTAGCGATGAGTTTCTGCATATTTTTTTTTTTTTTTTATCATTCTGGTAGACCGTAATTTTTGCGCTAATCTCCTGCGAAATCGATGCTGCTCGATTGTTTCCTTTCCCTCTCCCTCCTTTTTAACATAGCAATTCGATCAGATCTCAACGGATCTCGGCGACCATGCGATCGCCCTCTAATTCAATATCTTCTAACTTCGATCTCGGTTCAATGTCGCAGAGTATCGTGAGCTTCCGTTGTTGTTACACGACAAAGAGCCGTATCCAGTTGGACGCCTTTGTGCGACCTCGGGACTAGAAATTCGACAGAGATCCGGTTCGCCGAGTCGTGACTCGTGCAAAAAGAGCGCAGGGGAATCGCATTATCTATCTCTGAAACGTAGGCCCGTCATAGCCCAGACAGCACAATATCCAAAGCCGGAGTATAAGACATCTTTAAGGTGTCTTGAAGATATCTTACGTCCCGATTTTGGATATTGTACTGTCTGGGAAGACTTATATCGTTGCCCGAGCAACTGGTTAACCCGGTAAAATCGCGTATTGATCAAATAAATGCGTTCGAAATCTACATAGTCCCTCATCTAACGAAGTAAGTCTAAAACCTTATTCTAATCTAAGCAGAAGACTGTTAATGTAAAAATCAAATTAGATTATTGAAAATTGGTACTTGACCAATCGAAATAATAGCTAAGATCGGAACTACTTGTGATTTCATCGAAATCTGATTTCTAATTCGCAATCCTTAATCCCCAATACCAGCCTGATACGAGCTTTGCGCGATGATTCCTTTAGACAGAACAGGATTAAGCATCTTTAGGACTTGCTTCACTAAATCTAAGCAGAATGAATCATCGTCAACGCACAGTAAACAAATTTGGCGTTGGAACTGAAATTTTGTATTACTTCAACATGCGGAACGCGTTGGAAAGTACGCAAATATAATGTTAAATTAACACACCTGTCACCTTGTTAACACACGTTGATAAGGCAAACGTGTTAATTTAACATTACACACATATTTTCTAATACACATTTGTGTGCTTTTTAACGCTCCTCCTCGTGTTAAGTGACGCGAAATTTTAGCGGGCCGTTTTTAACACGAAATCTCTCTCCGTGCAGGTGTATATGTCGCTAAACGAGCGTAAGTTCTTCTTTGTGTGAAACGAGGTTCCGCGTCAAGGCGGGTAAAAAATGAACGATCGGCCACGTTCGCGTAGCAAAGACACGCTCGAAGCGATGAATAATCGTCAGGCACGCGCGATCGGTCTCATTTAGCTTCCCCCGAAGTGATATCTCCGATGAGCGATCGCCCGGTGTGCGCGACAATAGCGCGAGCGTGTCCTGCAGTGTTCCCGCTCTCAAGGAGACGAGTCCGCTTTTATTGCACAGCGACGCACTTAAAAGCCGTGACACACGAGAGCTACCGCGAAGTGTGTCAATGTTACGGCGATCGCATGCGTATGTATGTATGTATGCATGGTACACTCCTCGTGCCGCGGGGTTAATCACCTCGGGCTTTATTGTGCTCTACCGGAGCCGCTCGACGGAGACACCAGCGTTTTGCGCGTAACCATCCCGGGGCCAATTAATCGCCGCAAACGGAAGCCGCACGCGACTAATAAGTACACGGATGTTGGAGATTTATCAGAATCGAGCGCGATCGCGATGTGTCATTGCTCATTATTGAATAAATCAGCGCGCTCGTTGGACACCAGTAAACGATTCCAGTCTTTGAAGGAACTGTACCGCAGCCGGATGGACGAATTTCGACCCCCTAATTGTAATGACCAGAATGCAATTCGTGCGTGACTCATCATTCCTCCACGACGGAATTAATTCTCAATTGTTTGTCATCTCTTTCTTGCAAGTAGTAAATATCAAATTAATTGAAATTTCTTCCCTTCTAGTAAGAAATAACAAATTGACACTTGTTTCCTACTAGTAATGCATAGTAAATTGATGTTTCTTTCCTATTTATATTTTGTAATAATAAAAATCAAATTAACTGAAATTAAAAAGTAAAAGAAATGATTAATGAACGATTCTGTTAATGACTAACTGGGAAAGGAAGGATTAAAGGCCAATAAGAGCCTAATTGCAACTGTTATAGCGATATATATAAATGTGGAATTTCAGGGGGGGGGGGGGGGGCGTTATATAAAAATTATATTACTAGGATTCAAGGTCTGTTCGTGAAAGGCCGATTCGCCGCGTATGTTTGTCCGAAAAATTCTTCAGTACATTCAGTCACAAGAAAGTTGCAACAAATTTTTTTATTAGGAAATACATTTTCCTATTAAATACCCATTAGACGCTTTGCGTAACTCATAGAAAAACAAAACCATTGCAAATATCTGATTGACCGTACGTAATACACAATGAATATTTATATCCCTCCACTATAATTTATATACTTCGTCACGACGTCGCGATTAGATTCTTACTGGTCATTATTTCTTCCCTTCTAAAATAATTGAAATGTTTGTAAACGAGTAAGATCAAAGTACCAATGCTATATAAATAATTTTGGACATTCTTTTGATCTTTAAATATAAATATTTAACTTCTTAATGTCTAACTTCTTAGCATGAAATATATGTATATATTAAATATATGTATATATATTGTACGCTGAAAGTTTCAATATTCATGCTCATTTACAGGTCAAAATAAAAATGTCCAGAGTTAGGCAAGCGTGTTCAGGCATTGGTAAAAGAGAAAATGGTATGATAATTCTCACAGGTATTACCCTCTTAACATCTCCACTATTGGATGGCGAATTCGAGCGGGTTTTCGATCAAATTATGTCCTATAATGCACTTTTTCAACATATTAACGAATTAAGTTTGACCCGTTCAAAATTGAGACTCGACTCGTAAACGGCACCTCACCCGTGCGAATGACACGCGTCTTTCATTGGATCGACGACGCGACTCCGCGCTTCTCGAAGGATTCTCTCGAGTATCCGTATCCGTGGCGAAGTATCTCGCGCTCGCCCGCCTCATGTCGCTTTTTACGCTGACGTAGTAACGGGTGAAGTGTAAGCCTCGGTCAAGTGTTGCCGCGACCTTGAAAATCGAAGATCGAGAGTATCCCGTGGCGGTGTGGCCCGCAGTCTCCCACTACCATTATACGTGCGCGCATAATACATACCATCAGCGTAGTCCTGTCCCCTTCCTCGGCCGCTTCGGACGGAAGGAAGGTCCGATCCTTGGACACTTTCTTATAAATGAAGCTTGGCCATCGGCTCGCGCCTCATTTGACGCGCCTCCACCCTCCACGCGCTGACTGGTCGATCCGCGAAATCGTTCCGTTCTCTCGCGTTCTCTCCGTTCCGTTCCGTCGACTCGCCTCCTCCCGCGGATTCGCGCCGAGTCGGGTCACAGTGCGTCCTTTCCGGTCTCTCTCCTGCAGGATCTCGACCGCGAACTTCGTTGGAGGACACGTGAGTATCTCACAGCGGACACGAAACGCACCCACCCTCCCCGAGTCGAAATTTTAGTCCTCCATTAAGTCCACTTGATTCTACATTAAGTCTTCAAATAGCGGAAATAACTTCCCATTTGTAGCATCAAAGGAGCACTAATAATGTTCCTTTGATGCTAAAAAGGGGATTTAGACTTCTGAAGAGGAAGGGAGGGGGGGATTTAAAATTCTACATTAAATTTTCAAGTGGAGTAAGACTGAAATAATTTCTCATTTGTAGTGTCAAAAGCAGCGCAACAACAGACCTTTGAAAACTTAATGTAAAACTAAATAGACTTAATATAGAACTGAGACTTCGGCTCGGGTCGCCCCGAAAGTGAGCTCGCGGCTCCGCTGGTTTGCGCAGGGGTTTTCGCGGAAACGATCCACGTTTCTCGTTCATTTATTCGCTCGCCTTTCTAATTACGAGAGGCAATAGGAGAAGAGCTCTCATCGTAGAAACCTCTCGTAGAAAAGGGTAAGCGAGAAAATCGTTGCGTCAGCGACCGTCGACGATTTTTAACACAGAGGCTGCGGGACTTGATTTTTCCTCGTCTCGTTCTACCCACGCGAGTTTCGAGCCGGTCGTTCCTTTCTATTAGAGTCCCTCAAGTTAAAGTCTGGACAAACTCCGACCTGCTTCTGATTGGTCCGGTTTCTTATGTGGTCGAAAATTACGAGAATCGAGGATTATCAATTAAGGGATTCTATTTGGAGCGAATCTTTATTTGAGAGAGAAATTGCACACAACGGTATTTTCTCGATGAAATAAACATTTTCAGGAGATGATACTGCATTAATGACGATTTCTTGTGGAGGTTACTCGGAGATATTGAGTAGGCACTCTTCGTACGTAAGACACTTCTAGTGACAAACCAAACGCCATTTTCGACCAGAAAGTCGGAGATGTCCAGATTTGCTTGAGGAATTCTACTTTTTATAAAAGTGCAATGCTGCTCACCACCGGTGACTCGTGGCAGACGTAGCGTCTGCTCCTTTTTCCTTCCACATTCCTTATCGTCAATTCGAGAACATTTTAAACTCTGTATCGTTTCGAGCGGAATGCGGTCCTTTAATGAGATTTTAATTTAATGCATGCTAAAAATATCGCCGAGAAATATTCCGCAGGAACGCTCAGATATCAATATCGGAAATCAAGTGTAATTCAATGAAATCGAGCATTTTCGCCGTTCGAGCGGATTCTCGGCGAATTTCAAGGAGGGACGAGTCGAACAAAGAATCCGCGAGAAGGGAGGTGGTTTCGAGACACGCGGCGCACACGGCTCCGGCGAGCCGGATTCTGTAAAATAGGGGCTCGACGCGGAAAAGAGGTACGCGGTGAAAGTATCGAGTGAACGTGCATGTGGAAAGACAATACGCGGAACGCGCGTAACACAATGATACGCGTCGCGCGTATGTATGCGCGCAAGGCCCGAAGAATCGCGTTTCGCGCGGCCGTCTCTCTCTCTCTTTCTCTCTCTCTCTCTCTCTCTCTCTCTCTCTTTCATTCCCTCTTTTTCGCTCTCTCTCGTTGTTCCGCGCTATTTGCGTAAAACGCGACTCGACGAGAGTGTCAACGCGGCCTATAGACAGATCCGCGTACTTCGCGGCATGAATGCGCGCGTACGCGCGCGACTTGTGCAAAATTCGCGATTATAAATAGCGCGCGCGTGCGTCATCTACGGGGAATATGTCCTTCGGCTATCTTTCGCTACCGATTCCGGGTCGCCTTTTCATCAGCAAAGGGAGACGTCCACGAGAACGGAGCCCGATATCTTCCCCGTCGGAGAAGCGCGCACAAAACGCGACGACGTCCCTTCCTTCCGGAGAAAGGCTCGGGGGTCGATCACGAGCCTTTTCGTCTGGCGTGAAGAGCGTAAAGAGCGATACCGGGTCGAAATTTTAAATTCCGCATTAAGTATTCACGTGGAGAAAACGAGAACAAGTTCCCACTTCCCGGAATCGAAATTTTAGTCGTAGCTTAAATCTAATTTAATTCTAACATTAAGTGTTCAAGGGGAGCAAGTGAAAATAAATTCCCACTTAGTACAATAGAAAACCTTTGAACACCGATACAAATGATACTTAATGTAAAATTGAATTAGACTTAAATCAGGACTGAAATTTCGACTTGGGATAATTTCCCACTTGAAAGCGTTCATGGAAGTATAGTTTGAAAGTTTCCGTTCTTCCCTATTTTTTTTTATCTCTTACCTTCTTTACAGAAAAAAAAATAAAGGTGGTGGGTTCTAATCGAACACAAGTGAATTTTTCTCGATTTTTGCACCCTTGGAACAGAAACCGGAGAAATCCGCGGAAAAATGAGGAAAAAATGGTCTTTTCCGAAATCTTAAAATTATACATGGAAGTGTTCACTTTTCATGAGTTCACGCTAGAGCAAGAAATGCATGATCGCCTCCAGGGAAGAAAGTTCGACGTGAAAAAGCGCGAAAATCGCCCCTCGGCGGCTTTCGGATAGCGCCGTTATAATTCACACCGTATCCGTCGGGATGGTCGCACGAGATTAATGATCGCGAGATTAATATCTCGCGGATCACTATTGTTATAAGAAACAATCTCAATATTTCGGGTGATTGTCTCGGTATTTAATTTTCGGGATTGTGACATTTCGGGACGTTGTCCTACTTTTCGAATATCAGTATGATTTTTCGGGAATGTGCATGTCCACCATACTTCCCGCCTCCCTGCGGTATCGATCGCGCGTTCAATCGCGCGTTCAACCCGCGGCGGCCGAATGGCTGATTAATGCGAGCGGCAATTACGTCCGCTGTCACGCGCTATTTGTCGGCTTTTTGCGGCCGAGCCCGCAATAAAGGCGCGAGAGGCTTGTTAGATCCGCGTCCAATGCGGGATGCCGACGCGCGCGATCTACGCCCATAATAATAACGTCCGCGCAACCTTCAACTTAGCGCAGGCCTCTAATTAAAAGCCTCTCGATCGCGCCCGTATCAGCCGCGCGTCTCTTTCCATTGCGCGTTGCCAACGGAATCGTCATCGTCGCGATCTCTGCCGCGTAATCCCGCGTTATTGTAGTCGCGTGGTTTTACATACGTCTTCTTGCGGCTGCGCTTGAGAAGATATCGCGGTAATCGACGTAACGAATGTCGCGAGCGGGCGGGCAACTACCGCGATCGCGTTCGCCAGGTCGCGAGGATCGCAGCTCACGGGAAAACGCGAGCAGCGACTCGAGTCGAAATTTTATATTCTACGTTAGATCTTTAATGTGGAGAAAACGGGAATAAGTTCCCACTTGTAGCATCAGAGGAACGCAATAAATGCTCTTTTAATGCCACGAAGGGGATTTAGCCCTCCGGAATCTTAATTTTAGTTCTACATTAAAGCAATAATTCCCTCACTTGCGGTGGTGACCAACCCGAGTCGAAATTTTAATTCTACTCTAAATTTAGTTTAGTTCTACATTAAATGTTCAAAGGTCTCCTATTGTGCTTCTTTACCACTACAAATGGGGAAGTTGTTGCCGTTTTTTCCACTCGAAGACTTAATGCAGAATTAAAATTTAGACACTGGAGGATTAAATTCCTGTTGTAGCATTAGAGAAACACTTATTGCGTTCATTTGATACTACAAATAGGAACTTATTTCCATTTCCTTCTTTTGAAGATTTAATGTAGAATTAAAAATTTTAACTCGAGGAAGCAGCACAACAGAAGGCCTTTGAACATTAATGTAGAACTAAATTAGACTTAAAATAGGGTTAAAATTTCGACTCGGGCAGACTCCAGCATCGAGCGAATCGACTAATCGCACCCGAGAGAATTAGACTGAATGAAGACTAACGTGTTCTCGGCTGTGATTGATCGACTCGCTCACCGTTTGAGTCTTATTGATTACGCCTCTTCGTGATTCTAACGCGCGAGATCAACGGTGATCGGAAGTAAATCGCTCGTGATCGATCGGATGACCAGAACTAATGAGTACATTATCATGCAAATGCCCGCCGGCAGTTATAAATAGAGCGGTAATGCACGAGAACGCGCAATGACGCGTTCTCACCGGTGAGCTAGGTAATTCATATAATAATGTAACATATGTACATTATATAAAAATCTAACGACGTCGCAAATAGCCTATTAGCTTATCACTCCACGATTATGCCATTACGCTTACTTTTCTGTGCGAGTCTTTTCATCGTCTTACGTCGTGTTTATGAGACGTATACGGTAAAAAATATTTTGTACTTGTGTTAAAAGTAGTCTTCGTTAAAATTTTTGTGTTAAATTTAAATTTTTAATATACTAAGGTGTTAATTTAACATATCGTGTTTATGTTGTCCCGACGTTTTGTGTTGAGTCAATATTCAACATATATAAGTGTTAAAATAACACATTTTATATTTCAGTTACTAATTTTATGTTATTTTTCAACATAATATTTGCGTTACTTTTCAATACATGCACCTTGTGTTAGAAGTTAACACAAAAATTTGAGTAGGCCGTTTACGAAATGTGTTAAATTTAACATCAAATTTTTTATTGTGTACACAGAAAAATGCATATTGAATTCAAGTAAATATTACTTATTTCAAGTATTTCACAAGTTTATATATGCAAAAGTTCATCATAAACATCAAATTTATTAAAAATATATTCTGAATCCTAATAAGTTTAGTACTTCAATCAAGGATATTAAATTAAAACAAATTTCGATTTGATTATTCGAATTAGCCGAATTTAACTTTTCTTCGGTAAAATTTACAATATTCTCGAGAGGAGAACAAATTTTTCTCTTAAGTAAATGATAATGAGCTTTTATAATATTTTTGATGTGTGAGAACATTTTAATATTATTATCAAGAAAATATTCTTTGTTCAAGATAACCATTAAACTTAAAAGTAGAAAAATAAGCTGAGCAATTGCTTTTCTTCGCAGTACCAAAATATTGTTCTCTGTGTATTTTCCTCTTTTACCATATAATATATGCTATGATAATGATAAAAT